AAATAAAAAGGCTTAAATGCAAAAATGGTTCCTGTGTTTTATCACGTTGGCCAATTTAGTCCATATGTTTTCAATTTGGCCAATTCGGTCCCTATGTTTAGGACCGTTAACCAATGTTATCCATTCTGTTAAATTTTTTATGAAAAAATTAAAAACTATTTAAATATTAATTTTAAAAAATAACTATTTGAATACAAATTAAAGTTCAATAAATAAGAACAAAACTAAAAAAATAAAATCAAAAACAAAAAAAATCAAAAAAAGAAAGACGCCAACTCTAATCCCAACCGCCGCCACCACCTTCAATCCCACCCACTAGCCACCATCTCCAAATCCCAGCCACAATTCACCACCCTTCTCTCTTCTCTATCTCTCCCAACAACAGCCACCCCAACTCCAATCAACCTCACTCTCTCTCTCTCTCTCTCTCTCTCTCTCTCTCTCTCAAGAACAATCATTACCTTCACATTTCTAAATGTTTCAGTAGGTAGTGCCCGGTGGGGATTTCCTTGAATTAGTTTTTGGTTTCGTTTGTTTCTCTCCCTCTTGGTCTTGCCCCTCTGCTCATCGCTCTCCTTACCACCTCTCCATTCGTTGGGCAAACCATCCCATCCCCGACAACATTTTTTTTCTTCAAGTTTCTTCTTTTCTCATGTTATGATTTACTTTTAATGAATTTTTAATATTTTTAGATTAATTTTAAAAAGTTTTATAGGTTTTTAAAAGACACAAAAATGTTTATTATGTGTATTTAACAACAAATTTAATGGAATGGATAATATTGGCTAACGGTCCTAAACACAGGGACTAAATTAACCAATGTAGTAAAACATAGGGATCATTTTTGCATTTAAGCCAAAAACAGATAGTCAGAGGCATGTTTGTTTGAGATGGCCCATTCCTTGTAAATGTCCAGTAAGCTCACAAATTGCTTTACAATATAAAATAAGCATTGGGCTTCACACAGATAGAAGACAAGGTGAAGGTTTGAAACCAAAACTTTTTCAAACCCCTCACACCACTCTCGGTGCCCGAAACAAAAGAAAATAAAGTGTTCAGACACTTGTGCCCCCTACGTATTCCATGGGACGAACATGTGAGTTCACTACTTGCAGCACAAAGCTAAGAAAGTGCACAACAGTGTAAGGAAAGGTTCAAGAGAATTAAATCAATTGACGGTCAAGGAGGCTCAATAAAATGGTTATGGCATTCGGGTCTATCTGCCTCAGTTCTCAAATGCATGATGGCTACCAAACATGCCCACAAAATCCCAACAAGAAATATGGGAATCAATCGTTGTGGCAAAGAAACTATTTAGAAAGGAGTGTCAAGCGACTCAACCATGCTGTGACGGTGACTCCAATCCAAATAAATGATTGGTCAAGCTCCGAGCATCAAGCTCATTCCCAAAAGATACCAAAGGAGCATCAGTATGGCTTAATGGGTTTGTTCATCATAAGAGCCCATTAATCTCAAATCCTCAAAACCATGCTTGAGGAAAAAATACAAGTGTCAATGATTGAGTTAGTGGGTTCATCAAAATAGCTCATTAATTTTCTTTGACATTGACAATAAAAATAGTACAAAACCATTAGAAATTTTCTCATGGGTCATCTACCCTTGCAAATTTCAATGAGATCACATTCAAATCTCTCAAATACAAATTTTTGAACTATGTCTATTTGATCCTGTGAATGGTACGTAGGCAGTCTAGCATCCTAATAGATGCAACCACAACCAAATTTGAATCCTTGGTTTATCCCAACCAAATTTGCAAAAACACTTTTCCAAGTGCAAATGTCAATTTTAAAAAATTAGTGGGTTAATCAAAATTGCTCATTATTTTTCTTTGACATTGACAATAAGAAAAATGGTACAAAACCATCCAATTTTTCCCATGGGTCATCTACCATGCAAATTTCAATGAGATTAAATTCAAATCTCTCAAATACAAATTCTCAATTAGTGGGCCACACTTACCCATTAATTTCCAATTTTTCTCATGGGTCACCTAGCTATGAAAATTTCAACATCTCCAAATTGTCTCAAAGACACAAATTCTTAATTAGTGGGTCACACTTACCCATTAATTTCCAAATCAATTCCGAACTACGTTGGTTTGATTCCTTCGAAAGAGTAAGTAGGCAATCTAGAGACTCAATCTAGATGCAACCGCCCAAATCGTAAATCCAAACAAAATCCCTGGTTTATTCATAACCAAATTCTTGGTTTATTCATCTAAATTCACTCAATACAATTCAAATCAAATTTCCATCGCAATGAGTCATTTATTCATTGCAATTTTTTGAACTACGAGTGGCTTGATTTCCGTAAGGGATACGTAGGCACCCTGAGGTTCAACTTAGGAGCAGCTACAAAACCACACACACACACGTTCTGTTTTTTTATGATGGAATCAAAAGGTGTTCCCTTGAAGCAAGAGATTGTAATTAAAAGACACTGCGTCTCGAATGGTTCGAACCTAAAATAATAAAAACTATTTAATTAGTGGTGGTGAAATTATGTTGGGAGGTTCACATTTTTTCTTCAACAGGAACAGTATCAATGTTATTAGTCGTGGGCCGATGACCCATCTCTTTGAAATTTAACATTTAGTAGGCCGTTTAATCTGATTGAATTCCGTCATTGTAACCCCTCAACATAGCCCCTCCATATTGAACACCAAGTAGATCAAGTTGATCAAACCTGTGGTTCTCAGAGTCATACTATATTTTGCAATCAATCGACTTGGACAATTGGATAATTTTCCAAATTTCTCAAGCCCGCCTTCATCATGATAATGAAATATTGGTTGACACATTTCATGTTGTCAGTTCGAAGAATGTGTTTAAGTTACTCCTCTTGGAATGCGATGGGTTTTAGATAAAAAGATAAGGTTGTTGTTGTTGTTGTTGTTTTGATGACGACTTTACCAAGCATAACTGGTAATAGCACTTACACAAAGTGCTACCAATTTCAAGCTTTTCCCCTCTTTTTCCACATGTTGGTAGGACCTTACCTAGACCCTTTTTACGCTTACCATGTTTCCTGCCTCATATTTTTTTCGCTCTCTTTTCAGCCTATTACCTAATCTTGACTCCTAAAAGTCACTACATTTTTTAGGTAACTCCTAACTCATAATAAAGAAAACTACAAACAAATACAAAAAATAAACCAAACCATTTAGCTCAACTTCTTTTTATTTGGTCTTTCAATCTAGGTGACATTCTTACATTGAGGTTTAAAAAATTTTGGTTTATTAATACAATGATGTATTATTTTAAATTAATTTAGTTTATGAGGCGGGAGATTCAAACTTAGGTGTAAGGGCCAGTTTGGGATTGTTGTCACTTTTTTAAAAAGTTGATTTTGATGTGCTTTGAAAATAATTAGTTGTAAAGTAAAGTAGCTCATGTTTGGTAAACAATATTTTTAAAGTGTTGTTAGTAGAAAAAGCAGTGTCAAAATTGTTTAGTAAATATTAATGTAAAACTGTTGTAACTATGAATAATGACTAAAATAGACATAATGTTAAAAGTATTATGCGCTAATCATGTGGTAGTGGTAGTGGTGGTGGTGGTCGTGGAAGTGGAGGAGGTGGTGTTAATGGTAAAGGAGGATGTGTGATGGTGGCAGTGGTAGTGGTGGAGGTGGTGGTGGAGCTGGATGTGGAGGTGGAGGTGGTGTCATTTTAAAAAATTAATGATGATATTTTGGGAATTAAAAAATTCATTAAATGCTCATATCTGCTACTTTTGAAAGCAGCTTTGCAAAGTAACCCAGAGTCTGCTTTTAAAAGCTGTTGTCTAAAGGCTACACTACTTTTAAAATAATCGGGGTATTTTATTTTTACCAAACACCTTAAATTGCTTAACTTTAAAATGAAGAATGTTTTCAGTGAAAAAAAAACAATCACAAACGGGACCTAAGAGGACGGACTCACTTTCTTGACTGAGCAGTATGTCGGAATTTTTAACTTTAAAAAACGAAAAAGTGCTTTTTTAAAAACCGCTTGAAATTACTTCCTAATAAAGCACTAATTAAAAAGTGTGTTTATCTTAAACTGTTCTTAGTCCTTTCAAAAACACTACTAAACGGTATAAATAGTTGGATCAAAATTTTCAATGAGTGCTTCTCTTTTTGGTGGTCCCTCATGTTGCTTACCTTTAATTCCTATCTTTTTTTTATTAGTCTAGTGTAATAAGTCTGCCTTTTTTTGTACGGGAGAAGATTAAGATAATTAAATTAAATTCTAGAGCCTTGCGATAATCATGACAAAGAAAGGCCAAAATGGATGGTCACACCGATGCCATGGCCTGGATTGCCATAGAGCATGCCTCTTTTAGGGTCCTTTTTTCGTTTTCGAAGAATGAAAATAAGCAAATACGCGTTCGGTAGGTTAAATGGAAACACAGAAACGATTTCAGAATTACTCTTTAAGTTGGAAAACAAAAACAAAATGATGTTTTCCGTTTCCAAATTCTATTTCAAAAAACGAGAAAACATGAGAAACGGAAGAATTGCTCCCTTTGCCGCATTCATCACTTCTTTGTCAGCCACAAAATAAGTACTAATGCGAGCATACATTTGTGCACTACGTTGGTGGGTGGTCGCACATTATCTAAATTTTCTTAAAGTAATGTATAAGATATATCGTGACGGTGTATCTGAAGAACAAGTAAATGGTGACAATATACCTGAGGAATAAGTAGATCGTGATGGTGTATCTGAAGAACAATTAAATTGTGACGCCGTACTTGAAGAACAACTAGATCGTGACAAAGCATCCAAAAAACGCGTGGATTGTGAACATTTCTCCACCAAAACTTTAAAAAAGAAAGAATGCAAGAAAAATACAGATCTTTAATTAGGAATATGTTAAGAACATTAGAAAAACAAAAATTAAGTGCCTTTGAATATTAAAATAGAATATAAAGGGGGTCTTTTTTTTTTGCACATAAAAGTAATTAAATGAAAATATATTGTCGCAAATGATGGAATTAGTCACAACAAATATTTTGTTTGAATATTTCTGTCTTGAAATTCTACAATTACACTTCCCAAATTTTACAATATTACACAAATATTAACCACATCTCAAAACAAAACAAAAAAATACTAATTTTCTATCTTTGCCCAAAAATAAATAAAAAATAATTAGTTAACTCATATTTGTAGTCACTAGTTAGCTAGCAGTGAGCAGTCCATGCAACTCGGAAACTCAGCTGAGTCGTCTCAACTCGACCCGCTCCTCTCAAAATCCACAGCTAACATACTGATTTATCAGCAAGCCCGTGAAGCAACGGCCGAGATTCACCCAAATATTCAAGCTGACTCAAAACATCCACGTGGCAGCGTCTCTGGAGATCATCGATGCTTAAGAACCGCCCGGAGTTACTGGACTCGGACCTGGCCACGACCCGGAGAACCTCCTCGAAAAACGACTCGTCGCACGGGATAGTCAAAGGCCCTTGGTTGGCGAAGCCGTACTCCTCCTCGGCTTGTACTAGAAGCTTCTGGAAGATGGGGTGGTTCAGGTACGTCGCGCGCACGATAAACCGCCTGCAGCTGCTCCCCACGCAGACCGCCACGTGTCCTGCGGGGACGTCGGACGGCGCACGTGCTGCCGCGAGGCGGGCCTTCTTGTGCCAGCTTTGTAGCATTTGACGGATTCTCACAATGCGTCGGATTTTGTTGCATTTGCTGATTGCTGGTGACATTTTCCGGGAAAGTGAGGGAAA